GTTTGCATATTGTGTTCGTTGGAGCGAGTACTTTCGAACAATATCAATTTTGAATACATTTGGACACCTTTTTTTTACAATTTTATACCAAGATTTAAATATTAAAACTTGATAGTCGTGATGTTAAGTTCTACAAAGTTTCACCAAATTTTACCAAGTTTCATTTTCTTTTGGGGGTTTATGGTTTAGGGTTAGAGCTTGGGGCTTAGGGCATCTCCAGCCGCGCCTTTAGGAAGGCCTTCCCAGGCGATTTTTTTTGCGCCGGCGTCAAAAAACGGTCCAATTGCGTCCCCAGGAGCCCGATTTTCGCCGGCCTGGGCCGAAAACAGCGCCGGCGGACCCAGGCCAAACCCGGCGCGCTGGGTGGCGCTCGGGCGAACTTTTTTGGCGCGAAACAGCTGCGGGCCCACCGCGTCAGCGACACGGCGCCTCGTCTTCCCCGAACGGCCTCGGTTCCCACGGGGAATCAATGCCAAGGCTGCCGCCGGTCAGCCTTGCCATTGATTCCTCACGGGCGGCGCGTCACGGGACGGCGCACCGACGCCTCCCCTCCCTCGCACGCGTACACACGGGTGCGGCGCGGCTATATAGCCGGTGGCTTGCACTCGCCTGTGCCCACACCAGCCCCGCCCCTCGCCGCCGACCAGCTCCTCCCTCTCCCTCCCTCTCCCGAGCGCCGCCGCCCAGCCCCTCCCTCTATCTCTCTACCTCTCCCAAGCCCGTCGCCATGGCGGAACGCTTCCCCGGAGACGATGCGGCGGCCAACGGCTTCGGCCACCGTTCGCTCCGCGAACAGGAGTCCTGGCTCCTGCTCTAGGCGAACATCTCGGCGCCGCCGGACATGCGCGCCGGGCCGACGGGGTGGAGGCTCAACGCCGGGGGAGTGCCCATTCCCCCGTTGCCCGACGCCGTGGCGAAGCCGAAGTACTTCGCCGAGGAAGTCGAGGTCGTGCACGCCTCCCTCACCGACGCCCAACTCTCCCTCCCCCAGTATGCCGCCGACAACCACGCGGCTTGGGCGGCGTATTTCGAGCGCCGCCAGCAGCAGCGCTTGGCGTCCATCAACGGCGCGCCGGTGGTTGGTGGCCGGTAGAACAGCGAGGGGCGCCATCTGTGGTGGGGCGTCCCCGGCCGCACACTCGAGGGCGTGCTGACGTACCTCGAGGGCGGCAACGACCCGTCGTTGGCGTACCCGGCGAGGGCGGCCACCCCGGCGCAGCACCGACGCGCCGGGTCATGGGCGCCAAGGAGGTTCGGGTCCTCCTCCTCTTCTTCCTCCTCCTGATCTTCATCGCACTCCTCCGGCACTCCGGCCCTGCTCGACGTCAAGGCCGAGCCCGCGGTGGAGACGTTGCTCGGCCGGCGCACTCGCAGCGCCGTCATCGTCATCAACGAGGGCGGCCGGCGCGCCTACTCGTCGGCTCCTCCTCCGCGCTTCGTCAAGCCAAAGACGGAGCCGGGGCTCATGCCGGTGAAGACGGAGCCGGGCTCGCGCCGGTGAAGAAGGAGCCGGCCGCGCCGGTGACGACGGAGCTCGACGACGACAACGCGGCCCTGGAATGGGCGCGCAGGGACTTCATAGCGATGGAGAAGGAGCGCCTGGAGAAGGCGAAGGAGCGCCAGCGCGCCGCCCTGCTTCGCTTCGCGGAGCGTCGACGCGGCCGCGACGAAGGCGGAGTCGTCGTCGTCGCTGTCAAGGAGGAGAAGGGGTCCAGCAGGGGCGCCCGCGTCAAGGAGGAGAAGGCCGACGACGACGATGGCGGCGACGGCGGCGACTTCAGCCAGTTTTTCCTTTAGATTAGTTTATGTATATGTGCTATGTAATGAAAATCCGCGAACTTCGCCGAAATGTGCCGAAATTTATCGTGTTTGGCCGAATTTTATCGTGTTTAAGCCGAACTTCGCCAAACTTATTTTATTTTAAAACATGCCTGGGGGCGGCCCTGGGGCCGGCGGCTGGGGACCAACTCGTCCCCAGACCCAATTTTTGCGCCGGCTCACCCCCAGGCGGCGATTTTAGGCGCCCCTTGGGGGGCCAACGGCTGGAGATGCCCTTAGGTTTCGGTGGTTAGGGCTTAGAGTTTAGGATTTTAGTTGTAGTTTTTGAAACTTGCTGAATTTATAATTTGTTTATTAAGTTTTAGTACTCCTCTGTATCAAAATATAAGGCGTTTTTTTTTTGATACAAAGGGAGTATAAAAACCGTCTTATATTTTGATATGGAGGGAGTAGTTGAAACTTGCTGAAGTTTTTGAAACTAGTCAAAATGTATTCAAAAGTGGGCTTGTTTCAAGGCCCTTTTTACAAGGAAAACGAAGATGCGAATGAAATATAAAATGGTATTTCAATTCAAAAGGTATAATACATTTAAATAATTTAGGAACGGAGGGGGTATCAAAAGCTGCATGTATGTAATAATTAAGCTCTAGTCACCAAACCACTTTCCTAATCTTGGCGTAATCTTGTGGCTGCATGCATGCATGCCCCGGGCCCTGTGTCTTCCCTACAATGTTGACAAGGCAACATCCTTCAGTTTTAAGTAGCCAACCAAATGCATTTTTGTTTCTCTGGAAAAAATTGGTTCATTACTCTAAGTAACATTTTCGCTTGGAGTCATGTTGGTGTAGCTAAATTTCACTTGAATCCAACCAGGCCCAAACTCAAGATGTGGTAAAATGTCTTGTCAGCGCCTAGTTGGTCTAATGGGTATGCAAGGCATTTCAGATCCACTGCTAACCTAAATGTGATGAATTTATGGATTCTGCCATGTCCCATATGCCGCGTCGTGCAAAAATTGGCGTGTAAACCATATCGTTGTCTGAAAATTGTACATTCTTGCATATTGTGGAACTCTGAATTTTTTAATTTGTTGTTATTCTTTATCCCATTATCTTTCTTCTTTTAGGATAATATCAATGCCATTATTTTATTTTATTTTGAATAATTTGCGTTTCTATGTGTGTGCCAATTTATGTAATTTTTTTATTAAGAAACAATGTTCAGTCCAAAAAAATGTTTGACTATTAGTCGGCCCAAGAATTTTGCTATTTCTCAATGGAATGAGCAATAGACACCGAAGAGTCACACCCGGGAGGCCCAGAGCGGAGCTTAAGGTAGTGAAAAAAAAATTGTTTCCTTGATGACCCAACCTTATATTACTTATCCAAATTGTGTTCTTGACAACAAATCGTTGAGAACCAGACACTGAGCTTTGCTACACGTACATACAGGGAGTTATAGGGATGAAGGGATTACATGATGTTATGGCAGCTTTTAAGGTGCGTACAAAGGCGGTCCACCCCTGTCAAATTCAGGAAGGGGGTGTTTGGAAGTTTTGAAGGAGCCTATAGAATCCCCATAAAAGCCTATACATCTAGCATTTTTGCCAGGCATGTTGTTCAATAATACTAGACCTAGAAAGAATCTACTCCCTCCATTCCTTTAGGCTGGTCATAGTGGGGAGTAACATATATTAGTATCATGCATATGATACTAGTGTATGATACTATATTCATAGTGTATAGTATCATAAAGTAGTATCATAGATGGTCTCATTTATTGCCATGCATGACCCATAGTAGCATAACATTTATTATGTTACGGTACCTACCTATGTTACTATGACCCCCTCTCTCTTCTTTAATTTCGTGCCACGTAAGCATGTTTGCGAGTCCCAAGTATATGATACTAGTTATGTTACCCCCACTATGGCCAGCCTTATACAAGGTCACAAATTCAAATTACAGGTACCGAGATAAATTTTAATGAGTACTTTGTAAGTCAACTTTTCTTCTTATTAACTGGGATCATTAATATGCCCGCATGAATGCAAGGAAGGAATGAGAAGGAAGTAGCATAGTGTCATTATGACTACTCCCTCCTTTCATCTATATAGGGCCTAATGTGTTTTTAAGACCGCCTTTGACTATTGACAAGATTAGTAATACATGGCATGCATAATGTAAAAATTATATCATTGAAAACTCCTTTCACACATGAATTTAACGGTGTGCTTTGTGTAAGTTGCATATCATATATTATTGCTCTAATATTTGGTCAAAGTTAGCCTCGAAAAACGCATTAGGCCCTATATAGATGGAAGGAGGGAGTACATGTATGCAAATATTAAGGGCATGTTTGGTTCCAATAAGTCACCTGACTTATAAGTCAGGTGACTTAAAACCAGTGACTTATAAGTCACGTCTGTTTGGTTGTCACCTGACTTATAAGTCACCTGAGCACACCTTCTCACCTTGTTTTTTATTGTAAAGATGATGGGACCCATGCAAAAAAGGGTGATTTGTAAGTTTTAAGTTGGGGTGGAGCAACTTATGACTTAAAAGTTGGGGTGACTTATAAGTTGAATCTGTTTGGCAAAATAAGTCATTTTTGCACTTTTTGACTTATAAGTTGGTGACTTATTTAAAACCAAACAGGGCCTAAGCAAGTTGCTACTATGAGAAAACATTATTAATTTTTGCCTCGGTTACCGTTAGGCCTTGTATAGATGCAAAATGTATTTTTTATAATGGCCTTGTATAAAGGAACGGAGGGAGTATAAATATTTAGATAACTTTCTAGACTATAATTCTTTCCACCACGTCGCATGTAATGTAAGGGGAGCCCCGAATAAAAAGCCATCAACTTTTATATACATTGAAGATAGTGCCAACAAATCAGACGAAGGAATTTATTTCAGGCCATCAGGATTTAAGTCCTAGACTTGACATTGATGATCGCATATTTTTGAATTTATTTTAGACTATCCAGGGATGTTTGTTCAGTAGGAGCAGATGTTTCCATCGACTACAAGGTATATGTAACGACTTCGTCAATTATAATATGCTATACTGGTTCAGTTTTTTGAAGGTGCTTATAGAAATAGGATGTGCACGCATGTGTTCAGAGGGATGAGTAGACAAGGCTTCTATATAAGCCCGACCAAAATGCCTAGAGGAGGCGATACCACTTAGCTCAGAACTTTGAGATTCCTATTGGAAATGAGGATAATCGTGACCAAGTCCAGGCCGTTGCTGGTCCGCCCGTCCACGGAGCAGTCGACGCCGGCCAACCACATCAAAGTCTCCTCCTTCGACAAGCCTCTCGCCTTCTCCTCCTTCTCGTCGTTCCACGTCTTCGACCGCGCCATCCACGAGCCCGCCGAGACCATCAAGAGGGCGCTGTCCCGCGCTCTGGACCACTTCCGCCTCATTGCCGGCCGCGTCGTCGTGGGAGACGACGACGGCGATCTCTGCATCGCATGCACCGGCGAGGGCGTCGAGTTCGTGGCCGCGACGGCCAGCTGCGCCTTAGTGGACGTCAAGCTCTTCGACCCGCCGTTCGCGGCGCTGCTTAAAGACCTCGCCGTGGAATACCCGGAGGCCAGCTGCCGCGTGGCCGATCCCTTGCTGCTCATGCAGGTGACCGAGTTCTCCTGCGGCGCGTTCGTTCTTGGGGTCACGTGGAACCACGTCGTCGCCGACGGCACGGGGATCGCGCTGCTCCTACGGGCTGTGGGCGAGCTCGCGCGCGGGTTGGATCAGCCGTACATCGTCCCAGTCACCAGCTGCGCCGACCAGCTCCTGCCGGACCTCCCGCCGTTGGCCGCCGCTATAGAGCGCACCATGGTTGGCCAGCTGAAGCCCAAGGATTACGCCAACCTCGACATCACCGTGCCGATGAGCGCCATCGACCGCATCAGAGCCGAGCTCGGCGACGAGCTAGGCGCGCCGTGCACCGTATTCGAGGCGGTCACGGCGGTCATGTGGCAGTGCCGCAGCCGCGTTATCATGCCGGACGACGACCCGGACAACCCGGCGCCGCTCGTGTTCGCGGCCGACGCGCGCAGGGCCGTCGGCGCCGCGGAGGGCTACTACAGCAACTGCGTCACCACCCAGGTAGTCGCGCCGCCTCCGACGATCCGTGAGGTGGCCGAAGGGGACATCAAAGACATGGTCAAGCTGATCAGGAGCAGCAAGGAGCAGATACCGGCCACCTTCGCCGGAGAAGAAGGAGAAGAAGGCATGCCACTGCCATGCGTGGAGGACACGCTGTTCGGGTACAGCGCGCTGTTCGTGACGAGCTGGCGGAACCTGGGCTTCGAGGCGACGGACTTTGGCGGCGGGACGCCGGCGCGGGTGATGTGCCACCCGGGGCCGGAGTCGCTGCCGGCCTGCGTGGCGTGCCTGCCGCGCAGGGGCAAGGGCGGGGCCAACGTCCTGTCCCGCTTTCTCAAGGAGGAGCACGGCGGCGCCTTCCTTGCCGAGCTGGCCAAGTTCACCTGACCGCGCGCGTGCCTTGGATCGATCGGTGCAAAATCTATCTGCATGCCTGGGAGCTGTAATGTTTGGTCCTAGTGCTCTACTAGTATGAAAACAAAAGGTAGCTTTAAGTTTGAACTGGAAATGCAGAGAATATTCGATTGTATCACTCGAAATTGCATTTTAGAGTTTCTTTGTTGTTTCCCTATAATCAATAAATTTATTTAA